TAGCCTCTGCAGCGACCAGCAGGGGGCGACATCCAAGAGCATCACGAAGTCACAAAATTCTCCCAGGCCCTCTCCTTGGTGCCAGTGGGAACTCCTTCCCCTCTACAGGGACCAGCATTGCAGTGATATCTACAAACATCACATAGCCACAAAATTCCCACCCTTGAGACCCATGCCTTGGTCCCAGTAGAAATTCCTCACCTACTTCAGGGACTAGCAGCGGGACGACATCTGTGAACATTACACAGCAAAAAAATTCTCTCGTCCCGGCCCTCTTCTTGGTGCCAGTGGGAATCCTTACGCTCTGCAGGGACCAGTATTGCAGTGACAGCAACAAATATCACACAGTCACAATATTCTCTCCCACTGCAGCCCACTCCTTGCTGCCAGAGGGAACTCTTTCCCTTGTCATGGAACAGCAGTGGGGCAACATGTATGAACATCACACAGTCATAAAATTCTCTGATCAGGAGCCCTTTTCTTGGTGCCAGTGGGAACGCCTTTCCTTTTGCAGGGACCAGGAGTGGGGCGACAGCTACAAACATCACACAGCCACAAAATTCTCTCCTCTCAGGCCCTTTCCTCCATGCCAGTGGGAATTCCTTCCCCACTCTGAGGACCAGCATTGGGGCGACAACTACAAACATCACACAGCCACAAAATTCTCTCCTCCCGGGCCCTCTCCTCCATGCCAGTGGGAACTCCTTCCACACTGCAGGGACCAGCAGTGGGGCAACATCTACAAATATCACACAGCCACAAAATTCTCTCCGGCCGGGCCCTCTCCTCCATGCCAGTGGGAATTCCTTCCTCTCTACAGGGATCAGCATTGGGGCGACATCTACAAACTTCACACAGTCATAAAATTCTCTCCTTCCGGGGCCTCTCCTTAGTGCCAGTTGCAAATCTTTCCAACTCTTCATGGAACAGCAGTGGGACTACATCTACGAACAGCTACAGCTGCCGGGCACACAATGACAAAATTTTCTTCTCCCAGGCCCTTGCCTTGGTGCCAGTGGGAACACCTTCCCCTCGCAGGGACCAGCAGTGGGGCTACATCTACAAATACCACACAGTCACAAAATTCTCTCTCCTCAGGAGCTTCTTCTTCTGCCAGTGTCAATTCCTTAGCCTCTGCAGGGACCAGCATTCGGGCAACATCTTTGAATAAGACACAATCACAAAATTCTCTCCACCCGGGCCCTCTCTTTCATGCCAGTGGGTAAAGCTTACCATCTGTAGGAACCAACACTGGGTGGTATCTATGAACATCACACAGTCATAAATTCTCTTCACCTGAGCCCTCTTCTTGGTGCCAGTGGGAACTCCTTCACCTCTGGAGGGACCAGCACTGGGGCGACATCTGTGAATACTACATATCAACAACAGTTTTCTCTCTGCAGGCCCTCCCACTGGCACCAGAGAGAATCCCTTCCCTTCTGCACAAGTGACTTTGGCATTACCCAGTGGCAGCACTGCCATAGACACATCCTGTGCTCCTATCTCAGGCACTGACTCTGCAAGGAAACTATGGATACCACGTCTCCCACCTGATCCTCTCCCCCACTTCCTCTGCCTGGCACCAGTGGGACCTCCTTCCTCTGCACTGTTGACTGTGGCACTGCCCAGTGGCAACACAACCATGGGCTGTCTTTCCCAGGCAGGGAAAAGCAATGGGGTAACATCTACATATGTCACACTTTCACACAATTCTCTTCTTCCGGGGCCTCCCCCTGGCACCAGTGGGAACTCCTTCCCATCTGCACAGCTGACTGTGGCACCACTCAGTGGCAGCATGGTCACAGCCTCCACCCTGCCAGGACTGAGCTTGAGAGAAGGTGCGCCCCACATAAAAGCTGCTTTTAGTGTTCCTCCAGCACCCTGCCCACCCTGGGGGCCGCTGATGGGCAGCAGCATGGAGCAGAAACAAGAGTTCTGTTTCTTGGTTGTGGTAGCTACAGCTGCCGGGCTGCTCCCAACCCCTGTTCCAGGTCAGCCAGCCTCCAGTAGCCCAGCACAGCCAGCTCTTGGGGGATCCTCACTCACAAACAGGACTCCAAGAAATTGAGACAGCTCCCAGGCGACTTCTAATGTCACCCTAGCTCTTTTCTCTTCCGGAACTTCTATTGCCGCTGCCTCTGCCAAAGCCACCTACATGCCCTGTGCTGTGACCCAAATCTGGCACAGCAGACAGCCTTCAGCAAGGTAAAGCTCAGCCCTTATCAAAGGTAAAGCCCGGCTAAGCTCAGGCTTAGCAATGGTGGTAGTTTCAGCTGAGAGAGGAAACGGATGCATCCAGACGTTCCAGCCACCCTTAGGGCACTGAGCGCCTCTTCATTGTGAGGAAGGACCCCATACACCACACAAGAATTTGGTGGACACAGGGATGTGACAAGCAAGGCTGTCTCAAACCACCCACCCAAGCCGGCCTTTAACCCTGGCCTTGCTTCTCAAGGGGGCAAAGTTAGGAGGAAGCTGGCCTTCAAAGCCTCTGCTGCTCAGTGAGCCACTAAATCATCCTCCCACAGCTCAGGTCCCACTGCCGTGGGGTTTGAGAGACCAAAGCTGCCCTAAGAGAACATCCACTTCACTTCCTCCTAGATGCTACCTCCTGTGAGCTCCATATGTGTGTCAACCACAAATCCCAAGCTGACCTCTGTGATCCTGGGGCAAACTGGAGGTTTAGGAAAGCACTGTTTCTCTCTTTCTCGCTTTCTTCCCTGCTTTTAGCTCTCAAAGCCATGAGCACATGACTGTGATCCTCACTGGTGTTGATGGTCTGTCCTTAAAGCCACAGACTGAGTCCTTGACAGCTTCCCCTGAATGAGGACCCAGGCCAAGTCCAGCACCACACTTCTCATGGATAAACCTACTGTGGTTAAAAAATCAAAAGTCCCCACAGGAGAGGTTTTCTTACTGCTCACCAGAATGATGAACCACTGAAAACAGCAGAGACATGGAAAATTAATAACCTTGCTTTAGACTTTTTCTAGTACAACAAACCTATCCCAACCAGAAATAAACACATCCTTAGTAGGAGAAAGGACTTAGTCAAAATCAGAGTCAGGAAATTAAGTATAATAAGAAAGAAGAAAACACCAAAACCAAAACTTGAGAATCCTTTTGCTAGACGGATGAGCACCTTGCCACCAGCTTGAGCCATGGGTGGTGCATGGGTGGCTGTCCCATGTGGCCCGATGGGACAGTTACTCATGCACTGCCTGTGGTTCAGGGCTCCTCTGCAGTGAAACACAGGAATCGGCCCTTAGGGAAGGTGTTACAAATTCACACAACCCTATCAGAAATAACACTGTGAGTATCCTTAGCAATCTCTAAAAAGTACAAGTCAAGGAAATAAGAAAAATTCTAAGAACTGCACAACAATAAATGATGATACCACATATGACATGGACAAATTGCTAAAAGGAACTGAAAAAGTGATAGAAAAACTGAAAGATGTGACAAGTAAAGGAGAAACATTAATAAATGACCAAAACGCCAGTAAAAACAGAAGACCAGGACTGATTAGACAGTTGAAAAATACTAAAAACGGAAGAAGTCCTTACAGTAATTGATCTCCAACACACAGAAAAGGTCATTCTACTGGACCAGCATTACCCTAACTCGGGAGCCAGAGAGGTGTCCTAAGAAAACTACATGACCTCCAGCTTGCCAGGCAGGTGCTTATGCCGCTGAAAATCCTTGGCCCAGCTAAAACCCTGGCCCCAGACCAGCCCTCTTAATAAAATATCCCAAAGAAAATACTACCAAAACACATACAGAAGCTTAGTAAAAATATTACATACCATAATCCAAACTGATTCATCATAAGAATGCAAAAACATTTCAAACAATGAAATTTAAAAGGAGGAGACTGTAATGGTAACATATCTAAAAATTAAAACTTAGAAAACTCAATCTTCACCATCTTACTAGGCTCCACTTAGTAAATGCTTTAACATTAAGACAGAGCTCCAATGAAAAGGCAAATAAAAATAAAATGAAGAACCTCTAAAATACAACCCAAACCTTTAAAAATTTAAAATAATCTCAAAACCTCAAATTATACAACAAAGACTTGTGAGTCAATATCCATACAAATAAAATTATTCAATAAATTAACAACATAGGGAAAAGAGATGTAGATTTATAAATAAGCTATGTGCAAATATCTGAGGTTCTCCCAATAGCTAATGCCCAGACTAACCAGCACTGGCTGTCTCCATCCTCACCAGGGAAGGGCAGCTACTAGGATCCAGTCACCCCTGATTGTGTTATGCAGCCCAGGTAACACTCATCTCTGAGACACAAGCCAAGAAAGCACAGTCCAGCGGTACCAGGGAGCAGGCAGGCTTTCCTCTGCAGTGCACACTTGCAAGTACAAAGTCGTGCCTGGGTTCCTGGGCTCCTGAGCTCCTACCATCACTGATGCTGACATTGACTGGAGCCAAAGAAGCAGGAGCCCATATCACTGAGGCTGACATTAACTGGAGTCAAAGAAAAAGAATCAAGAACCCAAGGCCCCCAGGGGCCCACCCTCTCACCCTTGAGGTTGTTTACAAGTATTACATTACTTTCAGGATAGGTCTTTTGTTTTCCACTTGTTCCTGTGTTAGTAGTATCTAGTTTCATTCCATGTGGTCAGAGAAGGTACTTTATAGGACTTCAGGCTTTCACAATATCCCCTGCCTGGCCTAGCATGTGGGTCTGTCTTAGAGAATGTTTCCTGTACCATTGAGGAAAATTCCTACTTTTCCTCAATGGTTCACAGTAGATCTCTGAGATCTAACTGCTTTATAGTTTTCTTCCAGTTCTTTCCCATTGCTCTTCTTGCTGGTTAAAATATTCACGATTGAATTTTCAGGATAGAATTCTCCTCCTAGAATTGTTCAATAGTGTGTTCTTTCATTTTTCTTCATATAACTGGAAGCTTGACAGCTGGATGCAGATTTGCCTATGACTGTTTTATCTTTTTTTGTGTGTGTGTGTGTGTGTGTGTGTGTGTGTGTGTGTGTGTGTGTGTGTGAAAGGCTGCTTTTTAATTAGATCTTGGCAACTTGCTGGTGGCACTTCGGGAGGCACACTGACCCTTCAGTGGCCCTCCCACAACCATGGGGATTGGAGCCATTTCTAGTTTGAGGTTGCGAATACAAGACAGAGGCGGGAGGCTCTGCTTGGCCTCAGATCGCCCAGTGAGCTGTTTTCCAAAGACAGCGCCAGCCACATTGTGTGGTGGAACCGGGCCGTCCAGGCACTGCTGCTGCGGAGCCTGGGTGCGTGACACCAGGTCACTTTCGAGGCTGCTGGATGTTCTGGGGCCGCGGGGACGGGTGCTTGTCTATGGAGGCATGGGGCTTCTGGTGAGCCACCTGCGCGGCTGCTGGGGGGAAGTCTTTGTCACCCCGGGCGATGACGCCGGAGATGAACACGGTGGGCTTGGGCGGGCTGGGGCTTTCCCACTCCTGGTCCTCCTTGTCCCGCTCCTCTCTAGCGTCTCCGGTGTGCGGGTGTTTCTGCACGATCCGCATCCCGCCAGCCTTCACGGCGGGCGGGTGTCCAGCTTTAGTCTCTTCTTGATGAGTTCACCTCCGAACACAAACACACTTTGTATGTGGTACTTGGGATGGAAATCAGGGCCTCTGGGCTGCAAGAGAAGTGCTGTATTTTATTATTGTAACTTAGGATTCTCCTGCCTTCGCCCCCTCAGTGGCTGAATTTACAGGTGCATACCACCATGCCTGACACATAGCAGCCTTTTAAAATATATCCTTTTTTTTTGCCTCTTGTAACAGTTTTAGGCTGAAAATTACTATAATCTTGTGTTTTTGCCCTTTTTTTTTTGAGACAGGGTCTTGCTATGCAGTTTGGGCTGGTCTTGGGCTGACTTTGTATGATTGTCCTGCCTCAGCCTCCCAAGTGCTGGGATTATAGTTGTGAGCCACCACGCCAGTTTATAATCTTAAACCAGAGGTATAGCTCAGCTCCACAATGCCTGTCTGGTAAACATGAGCTTGAGTTTGATTCCTGGTAACTGAATACTAAAATCCTGTCATCTGTCTCAGGTTACTAGTTGCATGTATTCTTTTCTGTCCTTTCAGTCTGTTCCTATTTTAGGTTAAACTTCCTGCCTCACTGACAGTATAGAGTTGGGTCATGTTTTGATACTATTTTCCAATCTCTGCCTTTGACTCTGAAATTTAATTCCATTGATATATATTTTCTGTGACCTCTGTCTCTCATGTCTTTATGGCATTGGTTTCATTTCTTCCATTACTGCCTGTGTATTTTGTTTGTTTTGTTTGGTGGTGTACGAGTTTGAGTCCCTTCTTGATTCCTTTTCTGTATATTTCTAGAAATGTGTATTGGTTATCATATTAGCTTTCTTCTAAAGTAGCAAAATGTGTAGGATAATCTTGTTATAAAGAAATGATATCCACTGGCTCACAGTTTACACAGTTCCAGTCCAGGATTAATTACACTGTTGTACTGTAGCAGAGAAAAAACATGCCCTTCATGAATAGAAGTCAAAACCTCTCACTAGGCCACACCTCTTAAAGGTTCCACCCTCTCCCTGTGGCACCACTTTGGGACTTGGCGAGGCCTTCAAAGTGCAAACAGCTAGCCTGAAAGTGCCAGTTAAATCTGAACTACCTAACAATATAGTTAAAATTAATAGAAAATAAGGCCTGATCCTTGGCATAGAGAATTTGAACCTGAACATTCTGGTTTGTTGCCAGCTAGGAGGCAAATGCTATGGCCTGTTTGTGTGATGCATTTTGCAACATGTGAGCAAGGAATGGGCATGCACTGGAAAGGAGAAGGGCAGGCCTGGCCTGTGGTGGAAGCATCAGTAACCGAGGTGCCCACAGGACATGCAGTGACCTGGCGTGAGCAGAGGCGGTAGCTCAGGCTGAGCACTGTGGTATTGGGGGTGTCCTGCTGAGTGAGTGTTTAGCTTGAGAGTTGAGATTATTGGCACAGACACTTCAAGACAGCCTCTTCCTTTTCCTGCCTAATCGAGAGGATGGGGCCTAACACTACCGTAAGTCGACACAAGGCTCTGCAGCTGCTGCACCAGATGACGATCTTGGTGAATCTTGATAAACCCGCTCTACCCTCAGGAGTATCAGCGAGAAGATCTTTAAGAATGAAAGCACAGGTGCCACTCAGATCCTAGACAGGTTTGGAGAAACCTTTAGACACCCTTTCCAAAAAAGGACCGCATGTTTGCAATATATAAGGATCAATGCCATATATAAGCATTGGTAGGTGCACATGTCACATCTTAATTCTTTTTACATTCCCTGCTCCTCTTGCCTCCCTCTCTCTTCTTTCTTGGCCCCTCCCCCCTTCACATTTGCAAAAGACCTTTATCCCTGTTTCCTATCATCTGTATTTATTTTTGGTACTGGGAATCAAACTCACAACTTTGTGCTTGTCAGGCAGGTGCTGTGCCACTGAGCTATGTACCCAACCCTCTATCATCTAGCTTTTAGATTGCTCTTTATTTATACTTTGAGTTTCTTGCTTCTTCTGAAAAGCATCTATTCCTGTCATTGCCCATATTTGGATTTGATCTTTTGTTCTGGGAGATCTAATTTCTTCACTTCTTAAAGTATCTTCTGTCAGTCCTCTATTGGAAGTGTAAATGGCAAAATACATTTTCTCCATCCTGTAGGCTGTCTCACCATAGTGTTGCTGGTTCTCTTGGCTGTGCAGATATCTTTAATTTAATGTGATCCCATTGGTTAATTCTTGATGTTATTTCTCATGTAATTAGGTTCTGTTCAGGAAATCCTTGCCTGAAAGCATGTCAGAGCTTTACATATTTTCTCTTCCAGCATGTTAAGTGGTCTGTCTTAACATTTAAGAACTTGATGCATTTGCTTTTAGTTTACTACCTGGTGAGATCTAAAGGTCTAGGCTCAGTCTTCTGCATGTGCACAGCCAGGTTTCCTAGCACCATTTGCCAAAGAGACTGTGTTTCCTCCAGCATGCTTTTTGGGCCCTTTGTCAAACATCAGATGGCTGAAGGCATCTGGCCCTGTTTCTACATTTTCTATTCTCCTTCACTCACTCACAAATCTGTTGTAGTGCCACTTCCAGGCTGTTTTATCACTGTAGCTTTGTGATCTCACTTGAAATCTGGAACTGTGAGGTCTCTTGCTTTGGGCTTGGTACCCAGGATTGCTTTTTCTATGCTGGGTCTCTTCTGATTCCACATGACTTTGAAGATTGTTTTCTCTACTTCTGCGAGGAATTCTGTTGGTATTTTGATTGAGATTGCATGAAATGGTTGGAACTGTGGCCATTTTGAATATAGCACTCCTGCCTATCCAAGAACAGGGGATCTCTTTCTGCTTTCTGATGGCCTCTTTGATATCTTTTTTTAGAGTACTATACTTGTTACTGTAGAGGGCTTTCATTTCCTTGGTTAGGTTAATTCCTAAGTAGTTAATTTTTATTTATGCTATTGTGAATATTACCATACTGTTTTCCCAATTTCTCAATTGATTCATTACTGATGTACAGGAACACTACTGATTTTGGTATCCTGCCATATTTTGACTTTGGTTATTAATTCTAGTCTCTTGGTGGAACTTTCCATTTGTTTTGCCCCATTTAATATGATGTTGCCTTGTTCTAGGCTTTTTTCACATTGAGATAATCTTCTCTATTTTCTTTTTCCTTTTTATCAGTACCGGGGATCAAACTCATGACTGCCTGCTTCCAAGGCAGGTGCTTATGCCGCTGAGCTAAACCTCCAGCTCCTCTTCAGCATTAACATGAATGATCGATTTTTGTCAAAAAGTTTTCTGCATCTATTGAGATGATTGTGTGTTGTCCTGATTTTTCTGTATGTGATGTATTACATTCGTGGCTCTCTATGGGTCAAACCATCGATGCATCCCTGGGATGAAAACTTCTTGATCAGTGCTTGTGATCATTTTGATAATTGTGCATCACATCGCCTGTATCTTTCAGAGGAATTTTGCATCTATATTCCTTAGAGATTGGCCTGTAGTTTTTTGTTGTTGTTGTGTGAAGGTTTTGTTTTGCTTTGCAATCAGAGTAATTCTAGGAATTCTTTATTTTGCTCTCAGAGTAATCGAGAAATGAATTTAGAAGTAGTCCTTCCCTTACAATTTTGGAGAGTGTCCAAAAGTCTTGTAAATCAGCAGTGAATCCATCAAATCCTAGGATTTTCTTAGTTGTTAGGGTTTTTACATATTATTTTTCACTGTTAGGTTTTTAATGACTGCCTCAACTTCAAAACCTGTTATTGGATGTTCACTGTCCTTCTATAGAGGAACTTCACTTCAGGAACTTACATCTTGCCATAATTTAAGTCTCAAACTCAAGTGGGCCTAAACCAAAGAGAATTCCCCCCATAAGCTCCACATTGAACCTCACCACTGAATTTGATTTAGTTCTCATCCAATTCTGTTCAAGACCAACAATTAAATTGATGAACCAAGGTATCACTGTATCTTCCTGGCTGAATCTTGATATTCGTACATGTCTAGAAATCTATTTTTCAACACTCTCCAATTTATTGCAGTACAAATTTTCATAGTAGTTGTTAATGACATGAATTTCAGTAGTGTTCTTTGCCATTTTCTCATTTCTAATTAGATTAAGTGTCCACCCCAAATTTCTGGGTAAATTGACTAAGGGTTTGTCTACTTTATTCTTGTAAAAAACAAAGCTCTCTGACTTGTTTACATTTTTTAGTCTCAATTTTGTTAATTCCTACTATTCTTTTCTTCACAGTGCTAAATTTGGGCTTGCGTTTCTACTATCTGTAGGGTTATTATTATTATTTATCTCACTGTTTGTGAGCATTCACAATAAAGTATCTTCCCACTGGTTTCACTGTGCTCCATTAGTCTCTGTACATTGTACTGGCATTATCATTTGATTTCAGGAACTGTTTAATTTCCTCTGTGACTCAGTGTGCAGGAGTAATGTCCAGATATTTATAAAATTGCTGAGGGTGAAATTTGTGCAAGACTGCTTGCTTAGCAGGGTGACACCCTGGGTTCAATCTCTAGTAGCACAAAAAAATAACACAAAAATTTCTCAAGCTCCTGGTTTCTTCTGCTAAGCTAGCTCATGGGCAACGTGGTATGAGGCATGGTAGGAACTACTATGACCTGCCCGAAGCTCACTGCCCACATGCAGCCTGGAGGGACATCCCTGAAAAGCTCATTCTGATGGTTTACAGAAACCTATGCAAGATTTTCTCCAGACTATGTGGAGATACTGTGACACAATTCCATATACTGCCCAACATAATCCTCCCATGCCTGATGCCAGTGACAGGTACTCCTGTGCCCCAGAGGGGAAAAGCATTCACGTGAACTGGGGTCCGATGTCTGCGGCAGGTCAGAGGTCTCCACTTGGTCAGAGCTGCACTTCTCAGTGACTTCAAACGTCTGAGCCAGGAACAGATTGGAGCAGAAGAAAAACACTGTGATGACAGAGCTGAGCCTGCCTGACCAGGCCCGAGATCAGCTGGGGCAGGAGGGGAGAGGGCTGGAAGAGTCAGGTCCTCTCTCTCAGGTCACATCCCCAGGCAAAGCCCTGGCCCCCACCATCCAGGTGGCAGAGCATAGCAGATGAGGACACAGGTAAACACATGGATCCAGATGGGGGACTGGCTTCCGGG